AGGGAGACTATTGTGGCCCAGCAGAAGGATCGTTTTGACTGGGGCATGATTCTGGTTTTCTCTTGGCAGGTAGAAAATGAGGGCATCAATGGCCACCAGAAAGCCGCAGGACACCAGGAAGTTTATTACTTAGAGCCTGGGTCTGCATCTGATGGCCACCTGGTGAGAGAATAGAGAATGTGGCATATAAATTAATGCCAAGGGGGTCAACTTGTATATTGGACTATCTATCTAACCTTTGCCAGTGTAGGCTGGGTATGTGACAATCTCTTTAGGTAATACATGTGTGTTTAATTGTGCCCTTCCATATAAATGCCTCCAATTTATTGTCTAATTTTCATTAGATAATACACAATGATTCTAGAATTTTAAGGGCAAATAGGGCCCCTGGGGCTATCACATAGTTGACTGCTCCTTGCTGAGTAGAAGTGTTTATAACAGGCCAGCTGTTCTTCCCCTCTCCAGGACAGCTGGAGTGTATGGGAGTCCAGGAGACCCTGGGGATCCTGATTCAGGTCAGTTAGGTAGAGGGTAGGGTAGGGGACAGGTGCTTCACCCTCTGGAGCTTCTTTTTACATCTAAAAAGTATATTCAGCCCTGTGGGGAGATCAGAGTAACTGGGATCAGAGGTCAGGCTGGGAACATGATCTTGTCATACAAGTTGCTGCCAACAGACATCTCTGAAGTGGCATTGCTGCTCAGGAGCTCCCACTCTCCCTGGGTCCAAACAGTGTTGCAAGACAAGTCTGTTCTCTCCCACACTTCTTTGTTCATGCCCAGTAGTGTGCTATCCACTGTAAAGGAAGCTGGTCACCTCAGTCCAGAGGTGTTCTAAGCTTCCTGCCAACAAAATTCAATTCTTCCCCCACCAGCTGTCTCAACAAATTTTCCATTTATTCCTTTTAAAGCAGGGCACTCTGGTTTTCTCTGAAGTGGGCAATAGGAGTAGCAATTCACATATGTGCACTGAAGCATTGATTTTTTTTTATTGTTGTTGAAAATCAGAGTGAGTCAAGATCATTATGAGAATATTCCATATGACTCAAACATGAGTCAAGGGTTTTGGAGTCATTTCTATTTTCCTTCTCAATTCCCCGGATGTATGATGTTGTTTTAGTGGAATCAAACTTGAATAGCTCAACATTTTTATAATTACATGCATAGCCCATTATGATGATTAGTTTATCTAAATCTTTCATATAACACCTGGTGGCATTCAGCTACAGTAACTTGCTGGTTTAAATCTGTTAGCTATTAAAGTTAAAAGATTTGATCTAAAAATTATAGATATATGCAGCTCAAGGGCAAAATGAGTCTCATTTGGCAAAAGGGCTAAGATGTAAAATAGACTTCTTAACCTTTCCACACATCAGCATCACCTGAGGAGACATAAAAACTAAGGAAGCCTAGACTCTATGTATTAGTCAGTTTTTGGTTTTGTTTTTGTTTTAGGAGAAAATTGCTTTTTATTCTATACTCTTCTTTTTAAAAATTTATTCTAATTAGTTATACATGACAGTAGAATGCATTTTGCCACATTGTACACAAATGAAGCATAAGTTCTCATTCCTCTGGCTGTACATTGTGCTGAGTCACACCAGCAGTGTGTTAGTCAGTTTTGCATTGCTGTGACAAAATGCCTGAGAAAATCACCTTAAAGGGGGAAAGACTTATTTTGGCTCATTGTTTCAGAGTTTTCAGTCCATCTAGTTCAGAGGTTTCAATCCATAGACCTCATTGCTGTGGGCTTGTGATGAGGCAGAACATCATGGTGGGGAATACATGGTAGAGCAAAACTGCTTACCTCATCATGGCCAGGAAAGAGGGAGAGAGGAGGGGTTGTGGAGAGAGAGAGAGAGAGAGAGAGAGAAAGAATGTACAGGAGCCAAAGGCATACACCTAATGACTTACTTCTTCTAACTAGGCCCCCACCTCCTAAACTTTGTACCGTCTGCTACTATACATAGGCTGGCAACAAAGTCTTTAGCACCTGGCCTTTGGGATATATTTTATATCCAAACCATAAGACTCCACCTGGAAGAGTTAAATCGGAATCTCTGAGGTGCAATTATGGATATTAAAGAGTTGCTGTAGGGCTGGGGTTGTGGCTCTGAGATAGAGCACTTGCCTAGTACATGTGAGGCACTGGGTTCAATTCTCAGCACCACTTAAACAAACAAACAAACAAACAAATAAATAAATAAATGTATTGTGTCCATCTACAACAATAAAAATATATTTTTTAAATATTGTAGTAGCCATAGTTCAGAAATACTGCTCTAAAACCTCCCCTAACAATACCTTCCTCAAAGTATCTTCCCCTGCATCTCTTATAGTTACAAAATGTATCACCCTTACCCATGTAGAAGAAAGAACTGAAGCAGAGGTAGAGCTCTATTCTTCACAAGAACATGTCCAGGTTGCAGATGCTGGTTGTCCATTTTGGCTCACTATACTTTATTTGACTTTCATCATTGATATAGATGGTAAGACCTGAAGGTGTCTGATCCACATTCATGCTGTTTAGGAAAGAGAGGCAGAGGTGGTGGCTCCAAGTGCTTCTCTTAGCTTTGCTATCCCTCCCTTTCCAGATCTTTTTTTTTTTTTTTCCTGTACTCTTCTGGATATTTCTCTCATGTCACTCCTATCACCACTCCTCCTCATAGTGTTTTGTGAAGTCAATGGGTGAAGACAGTTCCCCTGACTGAATATTTTTGTTGTACTCTGTCCTGCACAAATCCTAGGCTGTGCTTTGTAGTTGGGGCTTCACACTGGTTTTCCGCAGCCCAGATATGCACAGTTCCTTGAGGAAATGTCTGGGAGCCACAGATTTTCAGTTGAGACAGTGAGTTTGTTGATACTAACAAAATTCTGATTGATGAAAGTCTGTCACATTGAGAAACTGATGTGACTCCATTTTTGAAAATAAATAAATAACAGCAGCTTCTACCTCAAGACCTGTCCTAAGGAAGGGGGCATAACCCTTGTCCTTGGAAAAACCCACAGAGCCTTCCTAGGCACATACCCACCCTGCTGAGTTGTTTGTCTGCAAATAACAGGAGAGATCTGCTGCGCCAGGTGTCCCTGACTCTGTTAGGCTAGGTGAGGACCCATAGCAACCCCCTAGCAACCACCAATCAGCATGAGACAGGGAAAATACCTGGGATGCCAGATGACACCCCCAGTAGTTTATGGTGGTTGATAACATGTTGGGAAACCATGTAGTTTAGCACGTACACCTCCATGGCTTAAACCAATCAGTTCAAAGGAATCCCCCCTCTTATACTAACCAATCACCCCTACCCAACTTGTTCCCACCAGTGAATGTGCTAATCAATGTTAAAGAGTTGTTGTTTGATTTTCCTGCGGTATGGAATGATTTGCTGTGTGATGTTGTGACGCATAGAGTATCCCCCCATAACCTATAAAATCTCATTGAACAAAGGACTGGGACTCACTCCCTGGGACCGATGCGTCGGAAATGGTTGTGAGTCCAGGCTCAAGCTTACAATAAAGACTTTTGTGTGACTGCATCAAATTCGGCCCCTGGAGGGTCCCACGAATCTGGAATTACACCATATCTGCAGCCAGTGCAGCAAGCAATGGAGCTTGTCCAGGCAGCTTCCCCTGCCCTTTTCAGTCTTCTTTAAATCTGAGCTCCACTCCCATTTATGTCCCACTTATGTCAAAGCTTATCTCCTCTTTATTTGTCATCAGCAAAGAACCTCTGACATTTTTTACCAGGCAGGTCTTGCCACTTGGATCCAGTTATGCACCAATATATTGGTCTGTAACTCCTTGGTCATTTTTTTGAGTTGTCATTTCTACCTTCTGCTTTAACAAATTCACCCACAAGAATGACATCAGCAGCTGGGGTTGTGCACCCTGATAAAGAAATTCCCATCCAGAATTGTCAGTGCAAAAAAGATTTGGCACGTGCCAGCATTTACTAGTTTATTTGACAGCCATAGTTCTAGATACTGGACTGTCTTTCCTTACCCACTGTGTCTAGGGACAATTCAGATTTTAATTGACATACAGAACATTTTCTGGAGCATTACAGAAAAAACAGGACTGGAGGACAATGTTTCCTGAAAAAAATATTTTGACATCATTGTTCTCCATGCCGTTTTTACCCCATAGGAAAACTGTCTAACTTGTACAAAATCCATTCTAGGCCAGTGTGGTGTTGGGTTTATAGGACAGAGGATATTTGTTCCCTGTTAGAAGCTATGGAAATGAAGGCAGCACCAATCCCCATGACTTCCAGAATGGCAGACAGGGTGAAAAAAATTTTTTTAACCTTTATTTTATTTATTTTTATTTGGTGCAGAGGATTGAACCCAGGGTCCTCACATGTGCTAGGCAAGCGCTCTACCACCACTGAGCCACAACCCCAGGCCCTGAAGAAATATTGACAGGAGTGGGGATGTTGTGGCTGATGGCTGGACAGAAGGCCTTCTGATTAAATATAGCCTAGAAGGGAGACAAGCCCACCCCATGCTGGTCAATTGATTGTGAGAGTCTTCTCTTCCTGTAGTGACCAGAGACCCTGTTAGAGAGAGGACTTTGGTTTCCAGGGCTGGAGCTTCTCTGCAGAGACAGAAATTAGTGGGGAGAAGTAGGGGAGTCCTCCTTTCAGTGCCAAGACTCTCCAGAGTCAAAGCCCTTCTTGGCAAGGTTGGTGAGGATGGCCTTCTCTGGTAGGCAAGTGGTGGAAGTTAATGTGGTGAGATGAGTTTGGAGTACTCAACTCTCATTTCCACTGTTTCCTTCTCATGCAAAGTCTGTCCAAATCTGTATGCAAACGTGGCCTTAGGGCAATGGCCACTTAGTGCACTTCAATGAATCCTTTAATGTAGGCATCACAAGCCTCTGGGTTCTGCCTAGCAGTAGCACCACTTAGCACTGTCATAAAACTTGTAGTCCAGCTCACTTAGAAATCTGCTTTAATGTATTCCACTTCCTAACTCCCAGGGACTTTGTCTACTGAAGATAAGAACTGATTTATCCAGAGCATAAGAGCAATAAAAGACTGCACTTACTAGGTAGATATGGGAAACATGGTCAATGTTTTGAATAGGTACTTACCTTATTTTAGTGTTAACCTTGGTGCTATGTGTTTACTTTGCTCTTTCCACATTTAGGGTCTCAGATATCTTGTGGGTTATTTCCAGCATCAGGAGCATTAAATGATAGCATTGAGCATATATCCTATGCCCTGTGGGGAGCCACGCATGAGCTGTATTAAGCATCCTCTCTCAGCCTTGAGCCAAGTGGGTGTTAGTCTGTCATTGCACACTGTCTGGGCTGTGTGAAGCAGGTGGTCTCCACCTTCACTTGGCAAAGAAGTCTGCTTTCTCAGAGCTCTGGACCTGGGCATTACCCACTTGGGCTAGGTCAGAACATTCCATAGAAACTCCTTTGTTAATTTCCCTATAAATAAAGGGATTCTGAGTGCACACTCTTTCTTTCCAGTGTGGAAGCTTACTCTTAAAGTCTTAGAGCCATCACGCTCTTGATTTGAAAAAATTATGTCTATGTTGTGTGCTTTTTGGCTACCTTCTTAGCTTAATGTTGCAGCCAGCTCTTTTAAACCAGTTCATCTTGTCTGCACACATCGTGGTCAAGAACACCTAATCACAAAGTCAGGCCTATGCAGATATTGGCTCTTGACCAAGACCAAAGAGCCATCTGGACATTTCCTGAGCAGGATCTTTGCTCCATTACCATCTTTGTGTAGGCTTTTTCTCTGCCTTTTTCTTTAGATCTTCATCTCTTTCCATAATGTTTAAGGAACATGCCCAGATTTGGAACAAATATCCCCTCATGGAAGTAAAGTATATACTCCTTTTACCTTAGATAGATCCCCACCCTCTCTCCATGGTTGTGTTTTAATTGATTCTTGAGGGTATGTTTAAAAACCAGTGGCAGCTCTTCTCATTGACACCACATCATGAGGAGAGGGGATGTGGTGGACAGAGCATCAGAAATCAATGAAAAGATAGAATTGGAGAGGTGGGGAAATGGGACAGTTTGGTAGATCCCTTTGCAGGAGGAATAGAGAAAGGCTGTGTTACCATCAATGACATGTCTTTCTATCTGTTGCCAAAAGGTAATCAGGAGACCAACATGATGGAAGGAAGAGTTAACAGTTTTGAATGCCCTCCACGTACTAGAAGAACACTCTGGCTGTTCTTCTCTGCCCGTGCAGAAAGAGTGTCTTTCTCTGCCCCTGCCCAGGTATGCTTTCTGGGCTCCAGGTGGGCTGACAGCTGGGACAAGACTCGGGGGAAAGTATTTGGCAGCTCTGCGATGGAATCCACAACAAAATAATTTGTCTTAATGAGAAGTGTGGGTGTGGGAAATAAAACTTATATTCTTCCAGGATCAGGGAATCTGTAGATTTGTAAAGGTGGCAATGTTCAGTGATCTGGTTATGAATAGCAAAGTTTCTTAGCGCCTTTGAAGGCATTAGGTATTATTCCAATTACCAAATTGTAAAGCTTCTTTCCTACTCTCATCTTTGATTGTCTATATTTTTTAAACATCCTCTAGTTAGAGTTCCTCTTTCCAGCCTTTCTTATTCATTCTTGCCAAACCAAGATTCTCCATGCAGTGTTCATGCTGTGCATTGATCACATGAGAACAGAAGTCATAAAAATAAGATGCAAAGCTATTTTTAATCTTTTTGTTGTCCATAATATTATGTGTTATCATAACTACTAATATCATCTAATGTCAGTGTTATTGGCATGTGTCAATAGTATATCTTATGTCACATCTCTATTTAAAAATAATCAGGAGTCTAGAGATGGTGACGAATAGAGTGCGTCACCCCCGTGTACCGTGTCACTGCACAGGTGAATAGTTAGAACGGCCAGAAGGTGTCTTGTTAGGAATTTCCAGCAAAATTGGGGTGCACTGAAACCTAGAGGAAGGATTTCCAACACCCATGAGTCAATTACTGTGGCTCAATCACGAGTGAACCATGCGCCTGGAGATTCAGGCTGATTGATCAGTGGCCAGCCCCGCAGCCAGAGCCTTCGAGCGCCGACGTGCCAGCAACGCAGAGAAATGGTGCTATGGATTCTGTGGGGTCCTACCAACTATGCTCCAGGCTGAGTTCTGGGTTTGAGATGGGGGAGAGAAACAGTCCAGATCTGCCCTCCACACTGGACAACCCACAGAGGAAGCCAGCGGCCACCATCTTGGAGAGCTGATGTCACCATTGCCAGTTTCCGATAGACCTGATCTCATCGCAGCAAGTTCAGTGATAGAACAGGTGTGTGACATTTAGCCCTTCTCCCACACACCAGGGAAATTGCATAAAATCTCTCCCTGGCTTTCCAGAGGCGTGATTATCAGAGTGAGCGTGAATAGAGGCGTGGGGAAAGGTAAAGGCACCTGACCTCCAACTCCCCCCTCCCACCAGCGGTGAAAAGGAAACCTGTCTCGCCAGCTCTGGGAGGAATGGCTATCAGAGGGGATCAAAACAATAGGGGGCCGGTTCCCAATAGCCGTGCTCCACATCCAGGAAACTGCAGGCCCAGAGTGTAGCTTGAACTGCAGAGAGGTATCACACTGGGGAAGGCCTGTCTGGTGGGAGAAGCGAGGAGACTAGAGGCCAGGGATAAACCTAAGTTAACAGGTTTGGAGAGACACCAGGTGGGGGAGGAGGGAGCGGCCTCATACGGATTGTTTCCTGCCCCCGGAGGGCAAAATCTTGATCCGGAAGGCACAGCACCACCTACTGGAAGCGAAGAAAATAGAAGCCTAACAGTGCCTTTTTTTTTTAAATTGTAATATTTATTTTACTGTATTTTATTATTTTTTTTTATCATTTCTTCTTTTCTTTTGTATTTTTTTCTTTCATTCTTCTCTCCCTCTCTCTTTCTTGGTTTGCTTCCTTAACTTTTCCCTGTCTTTCCTCCCAAGCATGACGACTCCAATTATGTGTAATTTAATAAATGCAAATAGATGAATACTACGAGACGGTCTATAGTCCGCCTAAGCCCTTAACTACCCCCAAGTACTTCTGTCTATTCTCTTGTTAATATCTGCCTGCATTTGAGCAACCCCCCAAAGAAGCTAAGATATATTAACCTCCATACCATCAAATCGTCTGACCTTAACATAAAATCCTAAGTTCAAACCTCAATTCTCTATATGCCATCAAAATCTATAGGCCTTTAATAAAACTAACGAATTTACCTTAAATCACAATTGAATCCAACATCTCTAAACATTGTCTCCCAACACAAAGGAAATATCTTGGAGCTATACAAAACCAAAACAAATTTATAGGAGAAAACAGAAACACAGCAGTCAAACAGAGTTGGAAAGTAACATGAGCACCATGAAAAAAAACAAGGGAAAAAAGGAGTACAAACAATGCAGGATAGATTAAATTTACAGGAGAACCTAGAGGCATCAGAAGAATGGACAGAGAAAGAACTCAAGGCATACCTGACTCGGATGGAATGGAGTCTTAAAGAAGTAATTAGACAGCAAGTCCAAACAATGAAAGAATACTTTGAAAATGAATTACATAAGCAGATTCAAATAGCAAAAAATGAACTCTACCAGGAGATAGATATTTTTTTAAAAAATCAGACAGTAATCCTAGAAATGCAGGAAACCATAAATCAAATCAAAAACTCAAATGAGAATATTACAAATAGTCTAGATCAATTAGAAGTCAGAACATCAGAAATGAAGACAAAATTTATCAACTCGAAAAGACTACAGCCAACACAGAAAGGCTGGTAAGAAAACGCGAGCAAAACATCCAAGAGATATGGGATGTCATAAAAAAACCAAACTTAAGAGTCATTGGGATAGAAGAAGGTATAGAGGTCCAAATCAAAGGAATGAGCAACCTATTGAATGAAATAATCTTAGAAAACTTCCCAGAAATGAAAGATGGAATGGACTTCCAAATTCTGGAAGCCTACAGGACCCCAAACATACAAAACTGTAATAGACCAATTCCAAGATACATTATTATGAAGATATCTAACACAGAACAAGGAGAGAATATTAAAAGCTATAAGAGAAAGGAGGCAGATTACATTCAGGGGTAAACCAATTAGGTTAACAGCTGATTTTTCATCACAGACTTTGAAATCAAGAAGATCCTGGAAAAATGTATTTCAAATGCTGAAAAATAATGGATTCCAACCAAGAATATTGTATCCACAAAATTAAGCTTCAGGTTTGACAATGAAATTAAAATATTGCATGATAAACAAAAGTTAAAAGAATTCGCAGCCAGAAAACCAGCACTGCAAAGCATTTTGAGCAAAACACTACAAAAAGAGGAAACGAAAAACAGCACCCAAAACTAACAGTGTGAGGTAACTCAGTAAAGGGGGGGAAATAACCAAAGAGGAAAAACAAGCCAAATTTAAATAAATAAATAAATAAAATAAACATAACTGGAAGTACAAACCATATATCAATAGTAACCCTAA